TCTTCTCACACGTTCCTCCCCTCATCTCCCTTGTTTCCGAGGGCAGGTCTTGACTCCAGGTCTCAGTTTGGACCCCACCCTTTCTCCTCCTCTTTCCTCTGAGTTGACCAGCAGCGGGTCTGCAGACCACCAGCACCATCCTCTCCTCCCTCCACCCCACAGCCTCTGGAACCACGTCCCGTTCTCCTGCCTCATGTCGCAATAACCCAGGACCCGGGCTTGCGCCCTCGAGGCCAAGCTGTCTCCACTCACCTGTGTGTCCACCTCACCTTCCATCCATTGAAGCCACTACTGCTTCCTTTTATATGGACATAAATGTATATATATAAGAATTATATATAAATAAGGAGCCTCTTTAAAGATGGTTTGGAACTGATATCAGTTAGAGGTTGAAATAAGATGAAGGAAAAGCCTATTTCAGAACTCTACCTGTTAGTGAGTAGGGCTGCTCTCTGGCCCCCTGGTGGCCCTGACACTCTGGGAGGGAAGGTGGAGATAGTGCTGACCTCCTCGCACCCCGTTTCTTCCCTTTTCCGGCTGACCTGTGACTTACACTGCTCTTACAGTTGATGCTTTGGAATAAATAGTGTGTATGTGTGCCACCCCATCTGTCCCGCAGGCATCCTGCATATGAGTGGAATGGGACCATGGCCCTGTTTATATATCAGTCTTTATGTTGGTGCTGCCAGGTCTCTGAGCTACAGAGGTGGCCTCTTGTACAGATCCACTGCTACAGGAATAAAAGACACTCTCCTTTGCAAATAGCCATTTGTCAACAAGCCCAGAGATCTTTGGTGGGGGAAGGTTATGGAAGCCATCAATTCTTGGTCTTGGGAAAAGGTGGAATGACAAGTTGCTGATTGTTTTTTAGGTTGACATTTCTTTCACTCTTCTAGTGACTCAGAAACGCTAGCTAAGGACACGACTGGGAAGAATAGAGAAATTTGTCATGTGATGATCACAGACTAGCATCCTTTAAACCCTGCATTCCTCAGACCGACAATGGTGGGAGCGACGGCACCCTCAATGCAGCTATGACGAGGAAATCCTTTCTATTTTTTAAATAGGTTACTGTAGTTTGGCCAGCAATTTGACCTCAGTGGTAACATATTTAGTTAATAAGATAAGCCAACCTGGCAACTAAGTACCCAACATTTACAAGCCCACTCACATTTGATGCAAGGGACGTGTCAGTCGGTGGAGAGATGTAGTAACTTAAAGCCAGATTATTTAATTTGGATCAGCTGAAGTATATTTTATAACTAAACCATCTGGCCCCTTTGTTTTGCTGAGGGGAAGTAAATGTTCATTTAAATGAAGTTGAAAGAGCAATGTGGCAACATAAAAGAGCTCCTTGCACTTTCTCCACGCTGTCTCAAAGGTCCTTTGCTTTTGGGAGTCAGCTTCCCACCCTCCACCTCCTGAGGGCGGGTGAGTGAAATCAGAGGAGCAAGCTCCCTCCCCTGCAGACCGATGTGCTTCCCTGAGCACTAGTTGTGCCTCCCATCAGTAAAAAAAATTTTAGGTCACTTTCTTAATTGTATAATTATTTATTGTAAATTATATACATGTACTACTATACTAAAATATGTACATTATAAAACATCCACAAAAATAGAAATTTAAAAAAGATGAGCTGAAAATAAATCTAAATCAAAGTTCTAATATTTTTTTTCCTGCATTCTAATGGACCATCATGTTCCCTCCACAACCTCTGCCCCTAAAATGCCCGTTTTCCTGGACTGTCCAAATCCAGGGGCTGGAGGACTGCATGTGAGATGCAATGAGTGGTTTGCGCCACCTGGTGGTCCTGGGAAGTGGCCGCAGGCTCAGGCACTCCTGGGGGCTGACCCTTAACGACAGCGTCTCTTGAGCCTTCATCTTCTCATTCAATGAAGGTCAACCGTGCTGCACATTGTGCTGGGTGCTGGGGATGCTGTGGTGAGAAAACGATTGACCAGCTCCCTGTCCACATGGGGCTCACAGTCTTGTGGGAAGGGGGACAGGCAGTCACCATTACCATTTGGGACTCTGGCAGGGTTGGGGAGGCAAGCCAAAAATGAGCTGGCAGAGAGAAGAAGAAAGAATTGGAGGAGTGGGGAGGAGGACTCTGATTCAGGAAGCTGCCTGACTGTCCTAAGTGCTCCTGGGGGACAGGGTAGTAGTAGGGAAGTCACTTAATAGGGCTACACATCTTCCTGACAGGCCATACTAAAGATGCCCAAAGGCAGAAATTTGAGAGGCAGAGTGGAGAAGGGGGCTTTCTGGCTCCATTTGCTCCCAGGTCCCATTCACACCTGAAATGAATGAGTGGCTGATATGATGAGTAAAGAGTCAAGGAACTAGATTAGGCTCTGGCCTTAGACTCTCAGCAGGTATCTTAGAATTCAGAGCAGATAAGGAAGGTATCAAATGGGGTCATGTGAAGGTCAATGAGTTCACAAGAGGTCATTCACAATTGGGGTCACATAGAGCTCAGTGGGTTCATTGGGGTCATGGAGGTGGTTTCTGATTGAAAATTCAAAAGGTAACAACTCAGGGCCTTCACAAAGGTCAAATAGAGATACTAAGCTGGGTCATGAAAAGGTCAATGGGTTCACCAAGAGGTTATTCAGAATTACTTTGGTCACACAGAGGTCACTGGATTCACTGGAGTCAAGGAGGCAGTTTCTAACTGAAAATTTTATAAGGTAACAACTCAGGGTCCTCAGAAGGGTCAAATGAGGACACTAAGTTGGGTCATGACAAGGTCAATGGGTTCACCAAGAGGTCATTCAGAATTACTTGGGGTCATGAAAAGGTCAATGATTCATCAAGAGGTCATTCAGAATTAATTGGGGTCACATAGAGGTCAGAAGTCATATAGAGGAATTACTGGCTCTTAGAGAGTTTTAAAGCTAACAGCAAACTCAGAGCCAGCATAGGCGCCTGGATGAGCTCATCAGATGGGGGCTGGGAGAGGTCAGTGATTTGCAGGTTTATGTAGCTTTTAGTTCATTTTCCTTTGTTTCTTTGTAACAGGTACTTTTTCCCAGTGCCCCACAATGAATACAATGACTTTAGTTCTTTCTTTACTTTTCTCCATCACCTTCCTTTTAACTAGTTTTTGCCACTCTCTACCTGATTCAAGAATGCAAGGCACAGGATATCGTCATCGCCATCATCAAATTAGTCATTAACAGGCATCTATCATGTGCCAGAAGCAATACCGGGTGCTTTATGTATGATCTCCACAGCAACTTTCTGAGGTGAGTACTGGCATCACCATTTCACAGCCGAGGAATCTGCAGCCTAGAGAAGTCACATAGCTATTGAGGGGCTGAGCTGGAATTTGAACTCAGGCCTGTTAACACCTAAGCCCTCTCATCCCTAAGCCTCACTGTCCCTCCCATCTGTAGGTCTCCCAACTGATGACACACATCTTGGGGGCATGTGCACACACATCAACCACCTGAGCTCTTTGGGTAAAAGGCTCCCTCATGTCTGGCTGGAACCTAATGATTTCTGGCGCTGGGCACTGGTTTAATAAATTAATCAATGAGGGGGAAGGCTTCTCAACCCTGAACCTCCATCTGCCTTCTCCATGCTTAAAATCATGTACTCAGGGACTGCGAGTTTAGACAGCTCCTAGCTCTGAGGGGGTATAAAGTTGGGAAAAGTGCAACACCCTGTGGGCTTACAAGTTGCAGCAGCTGTGGTCCTCCTGGCAGCCAAGGGTACCCATTATGCCACCTTGCACGTCTAGACTTTGCCTGTGACATGCCTGAAGCCCCAAGGGTCATCTTGCCTCAGCTGCCCCAGTGCCAATCCCACAACCCTTCCCTCCTCACCCACCTAGGCCCGGAAACTGTTGCCTCCGTCCGGCCCCCGTAGCTCCAGGGCAGGAAGTGGGCCAGGGTTCTGAGGCTGAGCATGAAGCAAAGTAATTTGCGTCAGCCCCTTGGCCAGGTTCCCCAGCAGCCAGTGGGGAACACTTCGTGAATGTTCTTGGAAGAGAGGAGGGTTGGAGCCTGTCCTGGGAGCTGGAGCCAGGGAGATTGGAGGGAGGGTCTCTTCCTTGCAGGGACTGCCCTGGCCCTCTCCAACCGCCACACCAGCATCCATCCATCTCCACCCCAGGTCCTCATCCTCTGTCTTCCCTCCTCACCAGGAGGCTAGGCACACACAGTCAAACATGAGTTATTTCTGATTTTATTTATAATATAAAAATGTTCAAGTGTCAACAGTCAGGTGTTTGGACATTTCAGGGCAGGGTTCCCATTTATTTGCTTGGGATTTTTTTTTTTTTAAACAATTACCTTTTTGACAAATTAGCAGTGGACCCAGTTTTGGAGGGTGGGGAAGACAGGGCTGGAGAGGGAGTGGAAGTCATAGGTGAGTTGGGGGCTGGGAGTCCAGCTGTGAGAAGGAAATGGTGTTACTTTATTGCTAAAAGGGGAATCAAATACACTGTGGAGTGGCTCCTCTCGGTCCCAGCGTGACCATGCATCCAATCTAAAGAATCTGAAATGCAAAGGACATGCAGGCATAAAATAGAAAAGACGACCTGTAAACGAAGGTGCTGCAGAGGACGGAGGGGCGTCCTGGAGGCCATGGGGGAGGAGGAGCCGCGAACACTGGGGCCCTGGCAGAGCTGCCCCCTCCCTGGGGCCGGGGCTGTCGGGAAGACATCTTTCTCAGTGCCCCTCCCTTAGCAGCTGTGAGGAGTGGGGAGGCCCCCTCCCCATTCTGGTTGCTGTCGCTGGGCCTTAGTCTCCCCCTGGACGTTACCTGACCCCAACTCTAGCTCCAAGCCTAGGATCCCCGCCCTCTCCTCAGGGGGCCCAGGACTCAAGATCTTGCATGAGGGCAAAGCTACTCCAGTCCTCATTCCCTTTCTCAGGGCCATCCCTCACCGCCCCGACCCTCGCCTCCACCAGACCCCGGGAGCCTCTTCTTTCCCGGCTTTGTCCCCCGCACCCCGCATCGGGATCCTACATTCCCCTTACCCCCACCCCGCAACCCAGACTTCTCTCCAGGAGCTCCAGATTAGCGTACAGCAAAAGGCACCACAATATAGGTTTCTATTAAAGAGTCAAAAAATTGGCCCATCTCTCTTTTTTTTTTGTTGTTTCTTTTTTTTTCCCGAAGCTGTAAATCAGGATGTTACATATAAATAGTTTCCCTATAAAAACGTCTTTGCCGTTAGCTAGTATTATAAGACAATTTTTGCTAAAATGAAAATAAAACATTTTGTTATACCTTTTTCCTTTTATAGAAAATAAAAATATTTTTATTTCTTTTTTTCCTCCTTTCTCTCTCCAGTCGGTGGTCTCTGTTCTCCTTAAAGACAGTGGGGCGGGCGAGGCGGAGGGGGCGGCGGGGCCCCTAGAGGGGCGCCGAGTCCTGCTTGGCCCGCGGGGGCGGCCCGCGGCTGTGTCTGCTGCTGGCCCGCGTGCTGTGGCTGTCCAGGGAGTAGTAAGTCCTGCTGTCGGCCGCCGGGCACAGCGGCGGCGAGTCCGAGCGCAGCGCGTCGTGCGCCGCGCGCAGGCCGAGGAAAGGCGTGCTCTCGGCCGCCAACGCCCCGTCAGCGTCGTCCGCGTCGTCGTCGGAGCCCGAGGCCGAGCCGCCGCCTGAGCCGCTGCTCAGCGACAGCGAGT